GTCTAATCTGACGGCAATGCATGCTTTAGAAGACAGCGGAGTCACACAGTTTTCTTTACGCATCTGTACGTGGTCACGTTATGGTTGAAATTTGAGGTTATATTTTGTTACCTTTAATTTATTTATCTCTGAGTGAAGATTAAAAGTCAACATCTGACAATAAACAGACATCGTATTTCTTTATGTGACATTATTAACCTGCATGCTGCATTCTGCTCATGGGGCTGCGAGAAAAAAAAAAAAGTGGATGTGTGGTAAAATAATGAATTAAAAAATTGAGGCTATGGTCAAATAAATAAATGAAAGAAAAAAGTGCGACTGCTCAGAGTGCAGGCAGCTAGGGACAGCGTTGTTGTGACCAAAAAACGGACCGTCCCACTGGAAATACGTCTGGTCCTCCAGATTAGCCAATCCGGCCCTGGGCTCCAATGATTATTAAGTTCTATTGATTACTATGATTACTATTATCAAAAAGCTAATCAATGAATCCTGCCCACACAGCAATCATAACCAAACTATAATCAAACTATAGGTCCAATATTGTGTATTGAAATTGTAGGTCTCCATCGGTCCACTTAGATCTGAAAACCAGTTGTCCGACCTGAGACCTGTATGGCATTAGGTTTAAAATTTCAACGTTTCCTCTGACTCTTGTTGGGTTAGATATGATTTGTCCCGGGTAACTTATAAAAAATGTGGCAATCGTGTTTGCAATTAAATGCAGTTGGGTAAGATTCAGGTTTAATTCCTTCAGGTGTGTCTCTGTTAATTTCTTTCTTTTTAAAACTGAATTAATGTATATGTAATTCAAGTGAGAAGTGATTAGGGTCAGGTATTGATTTAAGGACCTGATAAGATGTCTAGCTCAAATACCATGAATCAAAAGCTCCAATATCTTAAACTGAAATAAATCATTATACCCCTATTGTCACCTGCAGTTCTGCATGAACCCGTGTTAAGTATGCAATTTGCACTGAACAGCACTTTGTCTAGAGATTCACAGCAAATCAGCCTATACATTCTTAAGGAGCATATCATTCTGGCCACAATTTGGTTTGCTGTTTAGACAGTCGAGCAAGCCTGAAACAAATGAGAGTATCTTGCAGTAGAAAAAAATTGTATACAATTTAAACTACTTGACTACTGTTTATTCTGGTTAAGGCATGTAAACACAATTAGACATGTGCTGGTGGTATTTCAGAGCATTTCTCTGTGGCATATTTCCTCGTGTGAACTCACTCTCTTGTCTTGCTCAATCTTTCCTCCAGATAGATGATGAGGCAATGGCTTCCATGCTGGCTGACTTTGTGGACTGCCCTCCAGACGATGATGATCACGGTGCCTCACAGACACAGTCCTAACATGACCAAACATGTCATACAAACAAACGCCACGTCACCAAAAACCTAGTCCAATCCTGAATGGTCACACATGGTCAAATCTCCCAGATACTGTCCCATCAAACTCTGCTGTAGTTGCACTAGAGAAGCTCCAAAGTGAGAGTTTTAGGATTTCAGGTTCCAAAAGTCCACTATACCTTTTCTTCAATATAACTCTGCAAAAACTGTTTATAAACCTTCTTGGTGGTCCTGGCTAGAGTTTTTCCTATTTGGCAGCTTAATAGAAATATGATGCTTATGTAGTCTCAAGTATTCAAAAGTGTTTTTATCAGCTTTGGCAATATAGGTAATGTTGTTTTGTGGCCTTGTTTTGTTTCTTTTTTTTTGTAATATCATTTGTATGTGTAACACATGTCTTTGCATTGTGTTGTATGCAATCATGCAATAAAGTGAACTGGTTACGGCACTTTTTTCATGAGTTCTGTTGAAATTTGGCATCTTACAAATTTTAGTTTTGTAAGTGAAATCATGACCACAGTTTGAACGAAATCCTAATGCTGTAATGGGAAACAGATATTGAGTTCTCCCAAGCTGCTTGGTGCAGTCTGATCAACTCTGTTGAGATGACTTTCAAAACAAGACTGCAACTGGTTCAGTTCAGTATCCTTCCTGAATTCAGACTTCCTTCCCAGTCATTTTTGGGCATCATATCAGTAAATTTAATTAGATCCTTTTTTTTTTTTTTAGATTTCACTAGTAAAATGTTCTAATATGTTAATCTGCTTAAATGAAGTGCATTGTTCACTTTATATAGTGTTAAAGGGACACAAATGAAAAAGAAAGTCATCGATTTTCACACATAGTGATTTGCAGCATCACATTGATGCACAGTCTTGATTGCAGTTTGTTAGCCAGATTTCTTTGCTGAAAGACACTATCCATGAATACTTCATGAGGTTTAAATGTCTAAAATATGTATTAAAGCAGTGTTTCTCAACCACTTTCCAGGAGAACCACCAAGACTGCATGTTTTGAATGTCTCTTTTGTCTGTCACACCCATTACATGTCTTTGGCTGTTTCTCAATTTTAAGAATGCAGAGAACGGATTCGTGTACTTGTAGAGACCGTTCTTGCCAAGTTACTTTGAAACTCGGGAGACCATGAGAACAGAGAACACAGCCTTTATTAAGATTTTTATAGTAAGGTAATATTTACCATCTCATTTAGGGAAACTTGATTATTAAATTAATTAACAAATAAATTATATCTCTGAACTTAAATCATAAGTCTATATAAAATGCTGTGCTTCCCACCTCCTTTATTCAGTGAAGTTTGCACTCAGAACACATCCGGGAACTTTCATGCGTCCTCCGTCTTGAGTTTTGGAACTGAACTTTTACAGTTGATGAAGACGTTACACGTGAACACAAGAATGCATATTGAGAAACAGCCTTTCAATCTCTGGGGGTGCTCTACAAACGTGGCTGTGATACACTACTTTAAAGACTTATGCTCATCAAAACTGCATTCATTTGGTGAAAATGCAGTAAGATAAGACATATTTAGATTTAAAATCCTTTTTTCACTACAGTTTTCTATGCTGTCATTTTTATCGTTATTAATTCTGCCTGTCTTTGATCTTCAAACACTAGCAATCCCTTTCTATTTTATTGAACACAAAAAGATTTTTTTTTATGTAGGAAACCTAGAAATATCACCAGTTTACAACCTTCAAAATTGACAGAGGAAAGAAACTCAAATAATTTTTTGTAGCAAGTGGAGAATGAGGAATGGACAAATTCCATTTTGAGTTAACTGTCTCTTTAAAAACACAGATGCTAATAAAAACAAAACATTCAAATCATCTGATATAACCTGAATTCATATCAGTGCTTGTTGCTTGGATGTTTTCAGTCATTCACAGAGTACGGAATCATGATTTTGTCCTGGATTTTATGTTTATGATGATTTTTATAAAAGCTAGTGTTTTTTACGCCACTTTATGTAAGATACCAGAGACCAACTAGAAGAATGTTTGTTACATCACATTCTGTTATGTACAGTATAAGCACCAAATGTTTTGCATATGTTATATAGCAGCAAGCTTGTTTTGCACACAGAAATGCCCTCATTTGCACTCGGTACAGTTACTCTACAGGTTGTTTTTGTAACAAATAACATTTCGTAAACAAGTAATAATTTTTTTTCATTATTAATAGCTATAGATATAGATATTTATAGGTCTGCATTGAGTCTGAGTGACAAAGCAAAGCACTGAAAATACAGGTTATATTTATTCTTTGGTCTCCTTGTTATGCAGCTATTGTGCATTTATGTATCATGCTATATTTAATGTTGGTTTTAGTACTTGGCTACATGTACTTGTTATATGGTTAGTTCGAGGCATAGGATTGAGATATAATAATCCAACACATTGTAATAATGAAGAAACATTTTTTTTTGCAAACTGTCAATACTGAAAAAAATTGTATATTGGTATAAAAGCTTCACACACAAAAGCAAACACTTTTTATTTGAGGTATGCTTCCATTACACATTCCATGCACCTACTATAGTAATTCATTGCCGGCAGTTAGTTCTCTGCAACTCACACATTATCGCCCGCTGAAGCTAAGCAGGGCTTCACCTGATCAGTATCTGGATGGGGGACCACATGAGAAAGCTAGGTTGCTGCCAGAAGTGGTGGTAGTGAGACCAGCAGGGGGAGCTCAACCTGCAGTCTCTATGGGTCCTAACGCCCCAGTATATTGAAGGTGACAGTTTTTCGGATGAGATGTTAAACAGTGGTCCTGATTCTCTGTGGTCATTAAAAATCACAGGATTTCCTTCGAAAAAGATAAGAGGTTAATCTTGGGCAAATTTCCCCTCTGGCCTCCTAACCATTCCCATAATTGGCTTCATCACTCTCTCTCCTCTCTGTGTGGGGTCTGGCGCAATACGGCAATATGGGGGTTGAGGAGATTCCCTCCAAAATTGTGTAAAGCACTATATAAATGTAAGGAATTATTATTATTTTTACAATCAATTGTGAAATTATGTGAAACTAAGCCTAAACCTAACCTGCGTTCTAACCCTTACCATAAATGTAATTAATTATTATTACTTAGTTATACTAATATTATAGTAGTTAGTTGAATTAATAGTTGAACTAACAAGGACAACTTAAAATTAGTCACTTAAAAATTTGCTTATCAAATATTTGCACTTAATCATGCAAAAAATCGTATTACTGTAAGAAGTACTTGTGAAACACCATCATAGTTCTACTTAAGTAATAAGTCAATCATTTGCAGTGTCCAACTATAATGCAATGACCTCCTGACTTGAGCGTTTTAGATGTCTTGTTGCAGATATGACTGTGCTGCCTGCGATGTCAGTTCATGTGAGGTTTCGCGAGTCGATTGCAAAAATATTCTAATGTTGAGCCTTGTGGTTTTTCTGTGAGATTCTACTTCCTTGAAATGGAGAGCAAAGAATAAACAAATGAGGTTAAAATGTGAAGTAAAGGACCAGAGTGGGAGGTGGGAGAGGGGGAAGGGAGAGAGAGAAAGGTATGAGGGTGGAGACCAGTAAAGACAGGACATTTAACACTGCAAATATTAGCTTCATTCAGTCAGTCTCAGAGGAAGGGTCAGTGAGCAGACACGGTTACTGTGTGTGCTTAAGGCTGACATGAAAGAAGGAAACTAGGGGTGGCTGAGAAAAAAAATAAAAAAGTCACAGAGACATAAAAGAGCCAACAAAAAAACTACTGCTGAGAAGAAGAAACACGCATCAGATTTTCACCACCACACCACAGAGAATAGGTAAGTTTAGAAACACACATTCTTCAGATGTCTTGTCAAGATAATCACATTCATCTCATTTTTGACATTTCTGTTGCAGAGAAGAAGAAAACGATCAATTTCATCACCACACTACTGAGAAAAAGGTACATTTTTAATGCACAAAGTAGATATCGTCACCTTGGAATGATAAGGTTCTGTCTGCGTTCTGAATGATTTTGAGGTGTTGAGCTTCAAAGTTTTTGAATTCCATAGCAAACAATATGTGTGTAACATTTGTTTTTTAAATAAAAAGTCTTAATGTTAACAACTTATAAAAACATCACATGATGTAAATAAGTTGTAATCATTAAGAATATGTCAATAACTCAAATTTGAACAATATATTGTCACCTTAGAATTATAAGGTTCTATCTGACATTGTCAAAATTGTTTTTGGTTTGAGCGAAGCTTATTCTTCCTCAAGTTTAGGATGTTTTCTGTTTTTGGTTTTGGTTTAAGCTAAGCATATTCTTCCTCAAGTTTGGGATGTTTTCTGTTTTTGGCTTAAGCTAAGCATGTTCTTCCTCGAGTTTGGGATGTTTTCTGTTGATTTACATTCTTCCTCATGTAGGATTTAGTCTGTGAAACACTGAATAACTAGTTTAGTACTAGTATAATACCAAGGCATGTTTGTCTACGTTTAAGATTTCAGCACAGCTCGTGTACCTGCACTAACAGAATACAATGATGCATTGAACATACTGAATGGGCTTGCTGTAAAGGCAAACTGAAAGTGATATCAGATATTACTGGGTGGTTAAAGATAAGCCTGTGTGTTTGATCTAAGAGATCTACACCCTAACTACTTGTGAAGTAACTAACCTATAAAGGATAACAAAAAATGCATGTGAACTAAGTTATTAATTATTACAGGAATCTGCAAAAAGATGGTGACCTGATTCTTGGGTCAACTTAAAATATTAATGTATTTGGTAAAAAGGTATGCATGTAAGTTCATTCAGTTTTATTTTTGGCCTTAATAAAACAATTTCTAGGTTACTATTTTAATTGTACCTGTTTATTTTTAACATTTCTAAATGCAGTAGCTAATGTAAAGTGATGTGACGCTACTGTTCAATGTTACATTTATTTCAGTTTATATTGGTTATATTATTATATCATAAACAAATATGGTAGCAGTTTCTGCAGGTTTCGTAAGGCAGAATAACTGTTCAACTCTGACAACATTTTATGATTCAAAGGGAAAACACTACAGCATGTGTTCTTTTTATATTCTCCCTTTTTAATGTTATTTTAATGAATTGTAAGCAGTAGTAATATGATAGTAATTATACATAGTAATTTCCACAAACTGAAGTATGAAATGTGAAACTGTTTGTGACCAGAAAAGTTAATACTTAAACTAATCAAAACTTAATTGGATTTTTTTGTTATTTTTCTTTTTTTTAATCATGATTATCTTATATCAGACAATAAAATATACATAATATTGATACATATAGACATACTAATACAATTCACCAAACAAGAAATTATGAGGAAAACATAATTATACACTAAATAATTATATAAATAAATGGTAAAATACCACTTATATGCACAAAATATACACACATAAAAAAATAAGAATAAAAAAAATAATAAATATATTATACATAGAAAGGTAAGAGAAAAAAGGCAATTAAGATATAGGTGTCTCCTTAAACATTTTTTAGAAAAGGGCTCCAGACTTTCTGGAACTGTTCAAGCTTTTGTTTTATTGCGAACCAAATTTTTTTCATTTGAACAGCATGTAAGAAATCAAAAACCCATTGCCGATTGCCATTGCCCATTGCCGAAGGGAGAGCTGCTGACTTCCAATTCATAAGAATAAGTCGTCTAGCCAGTAAGGTTGCAATGGCTAAACTATTGGCCTGTAAAGAATTTAGTTCAACATATTCTGGCAGGATTCCTAACAATGCTGTTAAGGGGTTTGGGTTTATTGACAATTAAAAAAAAAAACTGCAGAAAAACACCTGAAGACTTTCTCCCAAAAATCAGACAGTTTCAAACAAGACCAGAAAGTATGTAAAAGTGTGGCTGGTTCAGTTGTACAGCGAAGGCAAGTTGGATCAATACAGCATGTATTCTAAATGTATAGGAAGCTGACAGTTGTATTAGAAACACTTCAACATTTTAAACTCTACACATAACCTCATTACTTTTAAAGTCATTTCACCATAAAAAAACTGCTTGAAGTGTAAATATTTTACAGTACAGTTCTCTTAAGTGCTATTGGGTTAATGTTAGATTGATACCTAGTTATTACTCGGGTTGTGTAATTACTATATGTACACCATTTTTAGATGCAAAACATTACTATTTAACATTGTCACGATATGTGCAGACATACAGAGGAATTGCAATACTATTTCTCTTCTCTTTCATCCAGTGTTTACATTTTATTGCAGTATAAAAGTTTGTATATTCAGCTAAGGTTTTTTTTCTTCTTCGTATGAACAGATTTTTTTGTATAAAGGTGTAACCACAGTGTACTTGTATAAAATGGATTCTTCTAAACTGAGTGAATATAAGTCGATGAAGACAGTGAATCGAGCTACACTGATTTGGGAATTAATCATTTGGGAGTTTTCTGTTTAATTTTGGATCTCAGAGAAAAAACATTGATCAAGTAAATGTGTCTTGAATTAAGGATGTTTAGATATTGTATGTGAAAACACTTTTCAGGGTCTTTGAGGAGTTTTGGTTTTCTAGATGTTTACTTAACAGTAGTAGATTTATCAGCGGAAGACTTTCACTTCCATAATACTTTGCTCATGCTTTGTCCGGATACAAGTAGATTGCATAATACCTAAAGGGAACAGATTCACATCTGTTGTAGCTCTCTGTTGGAGAGTTTGTGTATATGCTAAAATACTTTGTGAATTGCGCTGCTCTGAAACTGTATACGTTACAGTAAACCACATTACGTGTATGTGTGCAGATGGAGTACAAAGTGACAGTGGCCACCGGGACTTCTGAATATTCAGGGACCAATAATTATGTGTACGTGACTCTGATTGGAGAGAAAGGAAAGAGCGAGAGGACGCTGCTGGACAATCCTGGCCTGGACTTCTGCAGAGGAGCTGTGAGTGAACATCAGTGTGTCTGATTATGTTCATTCAAAAATAACGTCATCCAAACCTGTGGGAGTTTCTTTGCTCTGCTGAACACAATAGAGTTTTTTTTTTCTTGAGATTGTTGGAATGAAGAGAGCTGACCATAGCTGTTACCTTCCATAGTAAGAAAGAATAAAAATAAATACCTAGCATTAACTGTTTTCTCACCAAGAGTCTACCAAATGTCTTTGTTTGTGTTTGACAGAAGAAACTTATACAGGTGTGGAAGTATATATATATATATATATATATATATATATATATATATATATACTTCCACACCTGTATAAGTTTCTTCTGTATATATATATATATATATATATATAAATATACGATGGTCCCTTTAAGGCAAGTAATATCGCTTGGCGGCCATCTTTGAAACGCCTCTCGGGCAGTATGCTCGGACATTCTTTTTGAATGGGGAAACATCAAATTCTCCAAAACTGCTAGCCAAGATTACGATTACATTACATATTATGAAACAACAATAAAATTAAACAACAACTGTCTCTTTAGTTTCATTCCTAAATGTTCGTATCACACAAAATCTGCAGAAACTCGCGTCTAGTCCAAGCCCCTTCCCCAGAGTATTATCAATCTATAGCGGTCGCTGATTGGCTCCAGTATTAGAAGGTGGCGCTTCATTCGCCATGTTGACTGTTACACTTTTCCCCATTTAAAAGATTACGGGTGACATGGCTTGTGTATTCTAGAGTCTTTGCATACGCACATACATGCATACATATGCACATACATACATACATACACTGATTCCCTAGTGTGTATAGTGCAGTAAAGTATGGTATGTATAGTATAGTGCAGTAAAGGTCACATAAATTTGTTATATGAGCTACAATAGGTATTAAATGCAAAACTAATTTAATTAAAAAGCCATCATATTCATATATAACCAGCCATATTTAACAGCATTTGCTAGTATCTAATAATCATAAAAGTTGCCAGATTATACATTTTATTACTTCATGTTAAAACTGACTGACAGGGCAGTCAATATTTTCATGCTATGCTAAAAAACTGATCAATGGCCAATATTTCACTACTATATTATATTTTTATAATAAAGAGCCACCAGAAAACAGTAAAGACAAACATTAATGCATACAAATGTGTAAACAAGCCATCCACGCGTGAAGATTAAAAGCGCATGTGAAATGCAAATAGACCATAAATGCAAAAACAAATCTTGTGAAGGTGCTGAATGTTTTCACAATCGTGTGCCAATGATTATGAAATGAACCTTTATGTTTTAAACTTTGCGTTTTCTGGGGGAATCATTTTGCAGGATATGTTGCCTTCATTTATACTGTTTCCCATTTAAATAAATTAGACACAAACTCAAAGTGGATAGTTTACCCCAAAAAGGTATTTCACACCTCTTTCAGTTTCAGTCTTCTGTTGAACACAAAAGAAGTTACTTATTACAAAATATGGATTTCTTCAATATATATATATATTTTTTTTTGTGTTCAGCAGAAGAAATCTAACTGGGATAAAAAAAGGTTCATCTTTAGGTAAATTGACCCATTAAATATTTTTTTCACTTGCTACAAGTGAATCTAGACATTACTCTACAATTTAGTTAAGATTAAGGAGGTGGTGATAAATTGGTCGCAGATATTTATTGGCCAATATTGGATTCATTTAAAACTATCAGCAATATGAAAACAGCAGATATATATATGGTTTAATAATAATGTAGAGGAAATTAATGATGTGCATGTGTTTTGTATAATCCATTTTTCTTGGAGCAAAATCAATAAATACTTAAAAAAAAATTATTTGTGCAAAATTTCAGGCCTGAGTGCTAATATGTGCTCAAACACAGACACAAACACAATTGATTAGTTTGGGCTTAAATGTATCCTTTAAATATAGCAACAGCTCTGGCTTTATTTGTTAAGTTTATTAAATAAATATGTTCTATTATACGCTAAATAAATGTTCACAAAATCCCTTTTGAAGATTGTCTTTTCAAATCAAATCAAGTCAAATCACTTTTATTGTTACATCATCAGCAGCACGTGTGCTATGATTAGTGAAAAACCTAGGTGCTGGCTCCCGACGGTACAAAATACAGATGTGTATATTTAGTGCAAATACAACGAATACAACAGCATACTTCCAAAAAAACAGGACGATGTAAAATTGACAGCGATATGTACAATTGTGTTGTATTTTATCTTAAATTGTGCCTACCTTAAATGTTGTATTTTTTAATATTAAATAGATTTAATTTGTGTTCACTTAATTAATTTGATTTTGAGGGAAAAAAGCTAGTATTGTATGCAATTTTCCAATATTAGTATTGGAATCTGGAGGTTTTTCTTAAAATCAGTATCGGGCAAAAAAAAGTACATCCCTTTTAAAGGTTACATTTAACTCTTATTAAGCTGTTTGTGTTTTAAGTTTCAAGCATTTAGTATTAAGTGATGATAAAAGTAATGTAACAACTTTCTTCAGTTAAACAAAGAGAAAACTGAAGTCATTGCCTTTGGGAACAGAGATGAGGTTCTCAAGGTGAATGCATACCTGGCCTCTAAGGGTCAAACAGCAAAAAATGAGGTCAAGAATTTTGGTCTTGAGTAAGATATGAGTTTCAGTTGTCATGTCAAAGCAGTAACTAACTACACATACTACCATCTCAAAAACATTGCAAGAATAACATGCTTTGTTTTCTTGTGAAGACTTAGAGAAACTTGTTCATGCTTTTATCAGCAGGAGGATGGATTACTGTTATGGACTCTAGATCGCACTATTATGTCCCTTTTTTCTTTTTCATTCCTTTAAAACCCATTTAACAAATTTAATATTTTTTTAAGTAACTTTTATTAATATGTATAATATTTAAAATCATATTTTCTTATACTTGCCTCTTTTATTCCTGTTTATGTAAAGCACTTTGAATCACCATTGTGTATGAAATGTTCTATATAAACAAACTTGCCTTAAATTGTGAAATGAGTATAAACAATGCAGTACAATACTGACTGGTAATAATAATTGAAACCACATGTAATGCAGATATATATTGTCATTGTTTTGTAGGTGGATGATTACATAGTTAAAAGCGATACTGATTTGGGCCCCCTGATTCTGGTGCGACTGGAGAAGCATAAGTACTTCATAGAAGACAACTGGTTCTGCCGCTACGTGAAAGTCAGTGTACCTGGAGAAAGATGTTGTTACACATTTCCTTGTTACCGCTGGCTTGTGGGAGATGGAGTGTTTGTAGAGCTCAGAGAAGGCACAGGTCAGTTACATTGATTGAAAGTTTAAGGATCAGTTTAAGAACAAGATTAAATCATAGTAATAAACTCTTGGTTCTACTCTCATAGCCAAAAAGCTGAGCGAAGACAGTCTGCCGCTGGAAATGGCTCACAGACAATCAGAGCTTCAGGAGAGGCAGAAAACATACAGGTCTTCTTGGAATTTACATACTTCATTCTTATCTTTACATAACAAGTCCCCATTAACCCCTATTTTCTTCTTTCAGATGGGTTGCATGGGCTCCTGGCATTCCCAAATGCATTGATGCAAAAAGTGAAGCTGATCTGCCCCAGGACGCTCGATTTGACAACGAGAAACGCAGTGATTTTGAGGGATCTCTTCATTATGCGTAAGTACAAATGTGATATGGTTTTATAAGAGTAACCTGATATTTAATTATCCACCTAATATTACATTAATCTAAACTGCACTTCATTTGTTTCTCCTTTCCTGCCTCTCAGTCTGTTGGAGCTCTCACTGAAAAAATTGGCAATCCGGTTTGGAAAGTCCTGGAGTGACCTGGAGGATTTCAGGAGGATCTTCTGGAAACTAAGAAGCCCCATAGCTGGTAATAAATGATTTATGTTCTCCTTTGCTTAATACTTATCATGTATTTTACATAATTATTCTTGGAAAGCACTCTTCCTTTGAAACGCCATTGTAAAAGGTGTTTATGCAACCTCTCAGCAATGCGACTCGCATTTCAATTCGGCCAATCGCAAATGAATGCTATTTCTCAATGGCATGTGAAAATTCCACAATTGCACTCCCACTGTTGAATGACAAATGTTGCTTAACCCAAGGTTATGTTGTTGTTTTTCTTGTTTTTCATGCTGACATGGTGCTAACATATTATGAGCTTTCAGTTTACAAGCTATAAAGAAAGTTTTATCAATTAATAGAAAAAATAGGTGCATTAAACATATAGATAACATGAGTTCAAAAACTCTTGGGTTAAACTAACTGCTGACTTTAAATAAATTGAAATGCTTAAACCTCTCCAGTAGCAAATTTAAATGGACCTTTAAAGTGAACAACTTTATGGTTATTCCAGATTTGTTGTGAATTTAAATCCAGAATAAAAATGATGATTTATATCAAATTTTTATTAGATTTTAAAATCTGGCTAAGGGACTGCCATGAAAACTAGTCTTGGGTTAATTTGGGTACATTCATGTTCTTGATGAACTTTGATTATTGTACACGGTCCCTTGTTGTGAAAAATAAAATAAACTTCAACTAAAAGCCTGCTTATTCTGGAGTTTCATGCAACATAATTATTAGATTAACCTTTATTTTAGTAAAACAAAAATGATCTTTGCTAGTGCAGCCTCTCTTATGACTATATTTTTAATGTATGAAATTGATTTTAAATTGAATAATATGAATGTAATGTTCAGAATACACCATGGAGCACTGGAAAGAAGACTGGTTTTTTGCTTACCAGTTCTTGAACGGCTCAAACCCACGGAATATCACCAGATTGAAAAAGGTGCCTTCAAACTTCCTTGTCACTGGAGACATGGTTCAGTCATCTCTGATACCCACAACCACTCTGAATGAGGAACTCAAGGTGAGTCTCACTGGAAACACTTATTCTATTCAATACAATCAAACCAATGGATTTAATAATGTATCTTTTTTGCCTCCTTTTTCTAAAGAAAGGAAACATTTTCCTGGTTGATCATGCAATACTGGATGGGATTCCTGCCAATGTAATCAGAAACAGCCCCCAGTATATTGCTGCCCCACTCTGCTTACTGTATGAACACCCTGAGAAAGGGCTCATTCCCATCGCCATACAGGTAAAACCTGCTGACGCTATCTGATATGGGATGAAATCAGAACTTCTCAGTTTCTCAATCACACACCTGCCTCTATTTAAGATCTACGTACAGAAATGTGTTGGAATGCAAGCACATGAATTAATCTTTCAGATATGCAGAGATGAATGGAGCATAAACATCTAAATTGGGTAAAAGTACAGATACCATAATTAAATGTGATAAAGTGTTGATTAAATGATAAAGTGCTATTAATGTTACTCTAAAAGTATCTATAGTCGAAAGTACATGTGTTTTTTTAATGTACTTGAGTGTTACAATTAAAAAGTTACAATTATAGATCCTTATTTTTGTTGTTAAACTTGTCACACAATGATAACCATGCATATAATTAACGGTTATTCAGGTGTTCATATGAAAAAAACAATATATACCGAACAAGCCAGTATATAGCAAAAAATAATAAAGTCAAAAGTTGTATAATTATGTACAGTTGAAGTCAGAATTATTAGCCCCCCTTTGATTTTTTTTTTCTTTTTTAAATATTTCCCGAATTATGTTTAACAAAGCAAGGACATTTTCACAGTATGTTTGATAATATTTTTTCTTCTGTAGAAAGTCTTGTTTTATTTCGGCTAGAATAAAAGCAGTTTTTTCAATTAATGAGTTGTCGATTCATGAGCAGATGTAATCTTTTCTGTTTTACTAATGAATTGTTTAGTGAGATTTCTGAATTATTTGATATTTTAGAATAATTTGAGTTGAAATTTAATGCTTTCATAAACTATAAGTAGTTTGATAAAGTACAAAAATACTTAGAAAATGGCTAAAGCACAATAATGCAGTAATAACGCTTTCTTCGTACTTCTTTTTTTACTGTCCACCACTGTTCGTATGACTCCTGCCTTTTACAGGTTGCAACCAGTAGACGATCACACATTTACGATGCTAAGAACCACAAATGACTGATTGTCCTTCTGCTTTTCTTTCAGCTTGAACAGAAACCTGATAAGGACACACCCGTATTTCTGCCCAGTGATCCACCTCTGGCCTGGTTGTTGGCTAAGATGTGGGTTCGTCATGCTGAATTCCAGGTCTTTCAGTTGTTGTCTCATCTGCTGCGCACACATTTGATGGTAGAAGTGATCTGTGTGGCCACACTACGGCAGCTGCCAGCTGTTCACCCCATATATAAGGTCAGAGGACGTCTGCAGACGAAAGCACATTTGCATGTTAGCTAATCACTGATGCGTTATTAAATAACTGACCATTCGTTACACTGTTTTTCTGTGGTCGCAGCTCTTGACTCCACACTTGAGGTACACGCTGGAGATTAACTGTCGTGGCAGAACACAGCTCCTCTCTCCAGAGGGCATCTTCAAAAGGGTGACATGATCTTCTAATAATTAAGTCTGGGCTTGCATAATACTTAGTATTGTTAGGATTCCGATAACAAAGTTTCTTGTGATACAACATTTAATCTCAAGAAATGCTTTTTTAAAATTGTTTTTTCCAATAGAAACATTTATAAATTTAATGTTCATACTAATATAAGTGAGTAATAACTCTATAAATCTACTGATCTATAATTAACTATATTCACCCTAACAAAAGACTGTTTCAAGTATTTAGACAAAAGCACTAAATGACTCAACTCTCTGCTCTAAGGTGATAGGTTCATCTTTAGGACTGGTCTCGTCAAATAGCAAAATACTGAGTAGGTGGTTAGAAAGATAGTAAAGCCCCATCTGATTGGTCAAATTTAGATAACCTATGCATGCAACTTACATTATGATGATGATAATTTTTCAGTATTTTGTTTAGCCCTAATAAATACCAAAACATTACAATTATCAGCACTTACTTATAACACTTATTATCAAATTCTATCTCTCTATCTATCCATCCATACGTATATCCATCTGTATTCATCCATCCATCCACTGTATCTGTCTATCCGTCCGTTCGTCCATCCATCCATCCATCCATCCATCCATCCATCCATCCATCCATCCATCCATCCATCCATCCATCTATCTGCATCTATCCATTCGCCCGTGTCCATCAGTCCTTTCATCCATCTATCTATCTATCTATCTATCTATCTATCTATCTATCTATCTATCTATCTATCTATCTATCTATCTATCTATCTATCTATCTATCTATCTATCTATCGAAATGAAATTAAATGGATGTATGGTTGTATAGATGGATGAAATTGATGGCAGAAAACTCTGAAATAACCAACAAATGGCATCCAAATTCAGGGCACTGAAGAAACATTGTGTACAATTAAACTGAAATTATTATGACTATCAAAATTAAAGGATATCAGTTTTATTTCCTGTTTTTATTTGTATCATTTGTGTATTTTCTTCTACTTGTGATTAAAATGACAACAATCTCATAATATTATGCAGTTATTCCATTTTTAATTGTATTAAACGTAACTTAAGAGACTGTAAATATCAGGTGCAGCTTTTGTGCTTCCTTTGCAAAATGCCTTTTGTATTCTGGGTGATTGAGTTAAATAATTTTTTTTTTAATGTCATTATGAATACAACAGATGCATGTACTGCAGCCTCAAAGATCATAAATGTGCCTGAAAATCAGCTTTTGTAGCAAATATAGTCCTTCAAAGGGATACTTCATTCTCAATATGTATTTACTTGATTGTTTACTTCTGTTGGACACAAAAGAGGATATTTTTGAAGAAAGCTGAGAAACTGTAACCATTGACTTTCCTTGTAGGAAAAACAAATATTGTAAACAGGGTGAACTTAAAAAGTCTTAAATTTCAAAAGCTAAAATTTAGGCCTTAAATAGTCTTAAATTCACTGAAATATGGTATTGTATGTCTTAAATAGATTTAAGCAGGTCTTAAATGTCCTTTGTCCGTGTAAAGCTACAGAATCTCTGCCACCAACAATCCATCTAAAAAAAACTTGTTTAACAAAAGTGAAATTGATGAACTAATTTAACTTAAATATATTCCATTTGTTTAAAAATTCTCTATGCATTTATGCATGAACGTATGTTGTGTGCGGCACGCAAGAAGGTCGCTGGTTCAAGCCCTGGCTGGGTCAGTTGGCATTTCTGTGTGGAATTTGCACGTTGTCCCTGCCTTGACGTGGGTTTCCTCCCAGTTCTCCGGTTTCCCACATAGCCCAAAGACATGTGCTATAGGTGAACTAAATTAACTTAATTTGTCCATAGTGTGTGTATGAATGAGTTTGCATGGATGTTTACTAGTACTGGGTTCATTCAGCTGTGGCGATCCCTTATTAATAAAGGAACTAGGCCAAAAAGAAAATGAATGTATGTGCATTTAGTTTATCATAGTTTTTAAAACATGCCTTTTTTTAAGAAAATTTATGCCAGTAACTAAAGTTTGCTTTTTCAACACATTATTTAAAATATGTGGCTAAGAAATAACAGAAATTTCATTTTAATGGGACAACTATAAAAATTCCTCTGGCTGTTACAAAAAGTCTTAGCGTTTTGTTCTGGAAAAATCTGAAATTTCATTCATAATGGTCTTAAAGTCTTAAATCTCACTTGGTGAAACCTGCAAAAACCTTTTGTTTTAAGCACAAATTAGGGGGGTGGGGGTAAGTGATGACAGAATTGAAATTTTTGGGTGAACTATCCCCTTTAATGTCAATCATTTCTGAGCCTAACTCACAATGGTGTTTTTCAGGTGGTGTCCACAGGTGGAGAAGGTCTCTTGATATTGGCTCAAAGGGAGTATAAAGTTCTGACCTATCGCTCTCTTCAGCCTAAATTTGACTTCTTGGACAGAGGGGTTACTAAAGTGAAAGGCTATGTTTACAGAGACTACTCTCTGATGCTGTGGGATGTGATTCAGAAGTAAGCTAATGAAACATTAATTCTTTATTCAGTATTTAGCTTTGAAAATGAGACCAGTCTTTCCTTAAGCACATCTTTTCTCTCAGTTTTGTTTCAGGAATTGTTTCCCTGTACTACCAGTGTGACAGTGACGTGCAAGAGGACTCTGAGCTTCAGGCCTGGATTCATGATGTGGCTGTGGAAGGCTTTGTGGATGTTCCTGAATTTGGTAAGATAATTCATCGCTGCATTGGGGGGACAGTATTCAGGATGCATTTATTTTGATGTAATTCAATAGTTTCCACAAAAATGTTCAGCGTAACAAATGTTATTAGTTCAGATAAAGAGTACTGTTTCTTAAAGACAAATGATTTTCATGGTCAAGGTCAACTTTATTTATATAGCACCTTAAAACAACATGAATGTTGACCAAAGTGCCTTACAAACATGGCAACAATAATAAACAGGTAGAGAGACAGGACAATATGTGCTACGATAAAATAAAAAAATAAATATGCATTTTGAAAATCTGTATAGTCAATGAGTACTAAAAAAAAAGAAAATATTTCAATAGACCAGAGAGAAGAGGTAGGTTTTAACAGATTTTTAAAAACACTTAATGTAGATGAAGTTCTAATTTCTAAAGGTGATGTGTTCCAATGTTTTGGAGCATAGACTGAAAAAGCTCTGTCTCCTTTTGTTTTCAAGCGGGATTTAGGAACAATTAGCAAGAACTGAGCAAAGGACCTGCGTGATCTTTGGGGAGAAAACAAACTGAAGAGTTCACTTATATAGGCTGGGCCAAGTCCATGTAGAGCTTTAAATACATACATAAAAATACAAACATAAAATGTTTGAGTTAGTCAAGAAAGATTCTTCTTCTTTGGCCTTAGTCCCGTATCGTTGCGGGGTCGGCTCTTTGGAACAAGTGCTCCATTTAGACTTCTCCATATCATAACCACTTTTTTACACATTTTGGCCGGTCTGTCGTCTGGGCCTGTCACCCTCATACACTCATACACTATGGACAATTTTGCCTACCCAATTCACCTGCAGGTTTCCTGTGGGGGAAACCAGAGCACCCGGAGGAAACCCACGCGAACGCAGGGAGAACATGCAAACTCCTCACAGAAATGCCAACTGAGCCGAGGTTCGAACCAGCGAACCTCTGAGGCGACAGCACTACCTACTGCGCCACTGCTTCGCCCAGTTAGTAAAGAAAGATTATGTGATTTTATTAAAGATTCAGTTTTGCCATTGCACTAATGAATTAGATTTTAAAACATATGCCAGAGTAGTTGGCGGTTCATTCTGCTGTGGCGACCCCTGATAAATCTAGGACTAAGCCTAAGGAAAATAATGAATGTATTCATAAGTTGCAGTAGTAGTTCACAGTGTTTGCTACATTTTGCTACAGCCTCTTGATAAAATACAATACAGATACAGTCAAGACTAGATTTTAAGAGCCCAAAAGACATTAAAAGGTATTAACAGTACACATCTTTGAGATTAGAAAAAAAATGAAAAAGAAAGGAATAAAAACAATATATAGACAAACAGCGCTCCCATGTGGTCAGTAAGGGCATCTATGCTGCACTAAAACACACAAGAAAACTATTTCTAGTTAAAAGTTTCCATAGTCTACTTAAATGATAATGATAAATGTTTTGTAAAAAAGGAATAAAAATACATGAGTTAAATAAATGCCACTTAAATAAATGTTACTTTTATTTAATGATTAAATAGAAGCTATTAAGTATAACCACTGAGGTTTGTTTTTCATCTAAGGCCTGGCCAGTGATATGAAGACAAAAGAGGAGCTGATCACTCTGTTAAGTGTGGCGATCTTCACCAGCACAGCACAACATGCTGCCACAAACAACGGACAGGTAATCAACACATTTCTAACAGCCTATCATGTCTGCAGCCTTATTTTAAATAGCTGCATTTTTATGCTATACTCGATGCACATGGCTTGTTCATTTACAAGGAACGATGACATGATTTTGTTACATATTTCATATTATAGAAAAGGGCTGCACAATATATATCGTTTCAGCATTGATATCGCAATTTGAGCATTTGCAATAGACACATCGCAGGATCTGGAATGTGGACTTATAATAAGTTGACCAGAAGCCACAGTTAAAAAAAAATAACTAATTAACTAATTTATTAAACATTTGCATATATTTTTTAAGGTCTGTGAGTGTTTAAGTATTCTAAGCCAGTTTTAAGCATTCAGGTACAACAATTTATAATGTTTGTAACTTGATTAATGTAGTCCATATAGGGTTATTTTAATTCAATTCATGTACATAAATATGTAAATAGACTCCCAGAAGCACTGTTTATTTTTATTTGTATATTTTCTAGTGTATTTAGCACTGCTTGTGATTGGTTTATTATATTTTTTGCACATGCACTGGCCTACAAAATTGTCTCAATGAATTTAAAAGGACAAATTCTTTCCAAATAGAGCCATTCAAGTCATCTGGTGAAGTTATGCTCAATGTTGCAGAAAAATAAATTATCGCAATGTCCATTTTTTCCAACATCATGCAGTCCTATCACAGAAATAAATTAAGCATGTTATGAGTTAAGAACAGGATAGATATACAGACAGACGCCCATGTTTTTTTTTATTATTACAATCAAATATATTCAAATTTATTGGTCCATTTTCAAACAGCAAAAATTATGAATAAAGCAAAGCTTGTATTTTACTTCCTGTTAATATTCAAAAATGGTTTATAAATGGAGAAGGAAGTTATCATTTTAGAAGAAAGTATAAATAACTTCAAAACATTCTTATGTTTGTTCAACATTAGGAAGCTTTTGTGGTGTGGAGTGAGATTATGAAAGTTTTGAAGTTTGACTCCCTTCAAAAAGCAGTATAAGCAAACCATTTTCAGAATGCATATGGAAGAAGAGCAGATTTGATTGATGTTTCAACTGATTTTTTTAAGTGCATTAGAAACTGATGAGATGACAAAATAATGGAGATAATTTGATGATCATTGTTGAGGATTGTTATTTATTCATGTGGACTGTTATTCATCATTGATGTATAGTGGAGAAAAAGGGTAGGATTAAATAAGCATATGCTTAAACATGTTTTTTTTGGACATGTATAGGTTCAAAATTAGATTTTTGAAGTTGATTTGCATACTAATAGTATTTATTTAATTTTTGACATGTTCAAATTAAAATCTAGACAGACAGACAGACAGACAGACTGACTGACTGACTGAGCTAACTTTGCAATAAATACATATTGTTTTTATTCAGGAAATAATTTAAGAGAAATGTTTAAAAATGTGTCTGTTAGAGCAATTTTAGAATAATTATTATTAGTCAAGCTAAAAGATTGTAAATGACTCTTCAGGTTGTTGTTATTGTATGTCTTTTGTGTAATGAATGTTTATTAGGAACCGATATGATTGCATGTTATAAATTGTAAATTCAGTTGAAGTTTTGCCATGAATCTAGCCAATGCTGCCGATATGGCATTAAAATAAAAATAAATAAATAAATAAATATATATTGTTTAAATAAATTAAGCGCTAATTAAGTATAAAGTTTTCCCAGAGATGGGTTGCGGCTGGAAAGGCATGCACTGCATAAAAACGTGCTGGATAAGTTAGCGGTTCATTCTGCTGTGGCGACCCTGGATTAATTACGGGACTAAGCCGAAAAAAAGAAAATGAATGAATAAGTATGAAGTGACTGGCATCACATGTATGTGGTCAGTGTATGGTGATTGTGGTTACAGTTTTTCTCTGTCCTGTAGTTTGACTGGTGCGCTTGGGTACCCAACACCCCCTGCACCATGAGACACCCCCCACCAAGAGATAAAGATGCAGTGACCATGGAAATGATTATGGACACGCTGCCCGACATCAGCCAGTCCTGTGTGCAGATGGCCATCACATGGCATTTGGGCCGGGCACAGCCTGATGCGGTGGGTCAACAGTGTCAGACGTACTTTAACATCATCTATATGTGTCCAGTTGAATCCAATTAATCACTAACACAAAACTCTCTATTGACCTTATTCTGCAATGCGGAAGTGTGCTGGCTTTTACATTTTAGAACTTCCAATTTAGTTTCCTTTGGGAGAAATGACTTGGAATAATTAATGGCAGAAAATGATAAAACTGCTTGCTTTACAAACAAGTGTGTTTATGACTAAACATAAGAAGAAGAAGAATTTAATTGGAAAATATCAACTTGCAACATAAAGCAGCATAACTGATGGTGGAGGAGAAGTTTCCACCCTAAAATGTGTAAAGCGCTTTGTGTGTCCAGAAAAGCACTATATAAATGTGAGGAATAACAATAATAAGTGAATGACACTAGAAGTGTTGAGCCAAAAAGAAACCAATGGCTGCACCCTCTCGTACATGAAGAATAAGGTCAATAAGCTTCTCAAAGACACTTTAATTAAACACATTTACCCTTTGGTAAGGCTGTTTTTTTTTCTCTCTTTAAGATCCCAATGGGCCAGTATGTGGAGCAGTACTTCACTGAACCCGCTGCTTTGAAGGTGATTGACAAATTCAGGAAAGAGCTGAAAGAACTGGAGGACAAGATAATGGCCCAGAACGAGGGACTCGAACTTCAGTACCTTTACCTTTGTCCAAGCCGCATGGAAAACAGCATCACTATTTAGAGACAAAACAAACACTACCTGACAAAAGTCGTCGCCTATCCAAGTATTAGGAGCAGCAAATAATAACTTGACTTCTAGGTGATCATTTGGTATCAGATGTGGCTTATATGAAAGGCAAAGGCCTCTAGATTACACTTATTTTACCAAAAAAAAACATGATCCTGCCTTGATTTTTAATTGTTTAATTAGGACAGTAAGGTCTGACTTTGCTTGGACAGTCTTGTTGCGTAATGTGCAGAAATAATGTCAAAGAAAGCGTTCTTGCAGGACTCCTCGAATCATCAAGATTCTTTGAATTCATCTTCAATGCCTTCTCCTTCATCTTACCCCAGACATGCTCAATGATGTTCTTATCTGGTGACTGGGCTGGCCAATCTTGGAGCACCTTGACCTTCTTTGCTTTCAGGAACTTTGTGGAGGCTTAAGTATGAGAAGGAGCGCTATGAAGAATAATAGCACAGAATCTTCTGCCAAATCTACCTTCTGCCACTTTTCCAAATGATCAATTAGAAGTCAAGTTATTATTTGTTGCTATTACAACTGGGATCGACGGCAATTCTTTTGTCAGGTAGAGTACATGTAAATACGCATTTGTACCATCTTTTCCAGTCAATGACTTGCTCAGCAATGGGATCTATCACAGCATGTGTCAAAATTGTAATATATATCATTTGAAACTTTGTAAAGCATCAGTACGTAAAGCTTTTTTATATTCACTTTAGTGAACCGTTTTTTTTAGTTTGATTTTAAACTAATAATGTGCATTGAACTGTTTGAACGGAACTTTCTATGAGCTGTTTCTGTGTATATTTTACCACTGTATGCATCAGCTTTAGAAAACACACGTTTTATATTTAATACATTTTTGTTTCAGATGCAGACAATGCATCATCACTAAACTTTAATCTGTGTACATATGCATGCATTGGCTTTTCATTTGTCCATTACAAATAAAGATTTTTGTTAACACTTTAGGTCACAATTTATTTTATTAACTACTCGCCTATTACCTGCCTATTATTAAGATATTAACTGTTCATTAGTGGTTATGAAGTATGATCTTATTCTGCATCCCCAATTCTTCCCATAAACTAAACTCAGCTTCTACCTTACTATGAATAAACAGTTAATTAGTTGTTTATTAAGGTAGTAGTGTTAGTTAATGGTTTGTTAATATCGTGAAGTATGACCTAAAGTGTCACCAGACATTTTTATTTAATATTTTAGTGTTGTATTCTTATTTTACTTGTAATATTTTCCTGCATATCTTTATCTGTGGACACCATTCATTAAAAAATTATAAATCATTTTATTCATTTTATTATTCATTAAGTAATTATAGAGCAATGGATACAATCTGAAAGTAATCTGCACACTGACAACACAGGCACCATTTTGAATGAATCATTTATTGTGAAAACAGGACCATGTCGATTTCCACCTAATATTCACCTACTCAGATTGTAAATTTGACACGTGTATAAATAAAATGGCAATAATTTATGAACAGCATTTGCAGATAATAGACATTTAAAGGTTTAACAGGTCCACATATACAAACAGCACTATAAAAGACAAATTAAGGCACCGCACATACATGATTAAACTCACTCATCTTCTATTTATGAGAAGCTTCAAGACAGAAAGGCAAGAGTAAAGTACATAATCTCATTCCATTTTACACATCCACATTCAATTTAAAGCAATTACAGCATTATTACATATAGACACAGTGGGGGAATGGACAGGTAGAGTTTAAACTTTAGTCACATGTACTAATGCACCAGATATTCCTTGCGCTTGTTCAGGCGAACCTGACAAAATGACAGGAATCCTATGCCAACGTAGATTACTGCTGCAATGAAGCAGTTGTATCCCACTTGGTTGTACAGTTTATAGACGCTTTGCGGTGGTGTGTCCCTGAAAGGAGACAGAGAAAGACAATGTCATGAATGCATGTGACATCCCCTATGTTAGACGCTCTTTATTTTCCAGAGTGACTCAATAGCAAGCGGAACTCACTGGCTGTGTAAGTCTTCCTCAGTCAAAGGCACGTCCTCTATAAGAATAGCTGAATGAGTGGTGAAAAAAATCCCCAGCAATGCCTAAAACAAATCAGAAAATGTAAACTATAGTGTCATGACTGTAATTTCACACATCACCAACAATCTACTAGTTTTTATATTGATAGTTCATACATTTTAATTAATCTATGACATTTAATATGCTACTTTCGTAATGTAGTAAGGAAATATGTTATAATGTAATGTTTAATAACGTTAAATCATCATGATCCACCCCAAAGCTGCTGATATTGTTGACCGTTTGTGCGAAGGTACTTATTACTAAGCTTAAATTGAGTCTTTTACATGTCTAAACTATAGAAAACATGTTAACTTACCAGCATAATAACACCCCAAATGCTCAGCACCAGTCCACACGCTGCCAGTTTAGGACCGCAGAAAAGCAAAGAAACCATTTTCTGAGCAGTCGCTGGTTGGGTTACAGTTACCCTGAAATGCCAGAGGACGGGTTCAAAGGAAACAAACTTAAAGCGACCGTCGATTTAACTTTCAGAAGTTACTTTTGTTAGAGTTTTTTTGACCTCGGTAGGATCGATGTCAACAGTCAGCCGATTTAATCAGCTGACTTTAGAGGAAGCGGAAGTAGAGAAACTACAGAGTGTAACGTCATAGAAAGTTTGAAACAAACTTTTAGCACATTTTGTATAGCTCAGAATACATTCTTGCCGATATTCTGAGATCCACGACTGTGTATTCAAAGCAATTTACTTACTTTTACTTCATTTACCAGACTCACTTTAACGGATTAAAAAAGTTTTTTTTTCGTTTTGACAATTTATGTACAGTTGTAAGTTACTTTATAACACTATTTTACAGGTTTAACCGAAAAATAAACACAATCCTACAGTTTTCCTGTCATTAATATAACATGTTTAGACTTGTTGACGCTTGACTCCTCAACCCAAATTTGTTTTTCGTCTTAAAAAGCGTTGTGTGCATCTATTCATCATTAGTTACTGACTACATTATTGTTCAGTTTTAAAGTTTTATCTAATAAGTTTGCATTAGCTGTGTTTGCAAACGATTGAAACTGGACACCTTAGTGGTAACTTTTGTGACTCTTCGCTCATTCCTCCTCCCTTCATGCTCTCAACCCATAACAAAACGTCGCCAAATTCCTTAGGTTTTTGCTCTCTGCGTTGAGTTTTAGTTATATTCTTTGGTTTTAAGAAACAAACTGTTATAATTGTGTAACATTATTAACCTTAAACAAGCTTATAAAAGTCTTAGTTTAGCGGTAGGAGCTGAAAAGAGAAACAGAATCATCTTCATGGATGAAAAAGAGAGAAAAGGATAAACGAAGACTTGAGGAGAGCGCGTAACGGGACGAGCCTGGAGGAAAACAAGCTTTGACTTGAAGAAAAGTATGGAAATGTATGAGTTCTGTTGAAGAGCAGGACAGAATTTGCCAACACATTCACCAAAAGAGTAAGTAGCTATACCGGTAAAAACACTTTTAGGATTCAGCTTTAGGACACATCGTGTCAGTTCAGTACGTGGCCAAAGGGGATAGCATCATGCTACATTACAATCCTATTAAAAAATAACTGAAATGTACAAATCTTTTAAAACATGGAAATAAATATATTTCCTTTTCTGATTAAACTTAATTCCCAAACTAGTCAGTGATTTTTCAGGGCAGTTTTGTCCATTGCAGTTTCAGAGGTAGTACGGTAGATGGCTGTGGGGATGTTGTAACGGATCAAGGAAAAAAATATAAGAAGACATTTCGTCCATTTTCTCCAAAAGTCAAATAAAACAAAGATGTTGCACGACTAGCCTTTTTAGTAGGTAAAATGTTACAAAGGTGGACACAAGTGTCTACCATTTAGAAACTATTGTGTGTGTTTTACACGTTAAAGACTAAAGAGATTACTTTAGTAATTATTTGAATAGTTAGTATAAGTACATTTGTAACTTTTGTATATGTATTTGTTCCTGCCATAAAGATAGCCTTGGATTCATGCCAATAAAATAAACCACTCAAAGAATAAGCACTGTAAAGAAAATTAATCTGTTCACCAAAATTTTAAATAACTGCTTTCTTATTGTATGTAGTTTTAAATGAAATTATTACTCCAGTCGTTCTTGCTTTTATAACTATTATCAATAACAATAATAATAATAATTCATATTAGAGTGATTTCTAAAAGATCATGTGTCTGAAGACTGGAGTAATGAAGTTGAAAATTCCCCATTAAAATCACTGGTATAAATGATTGAGTTAAATGATAAACTACTTTTGAACAGTTATTTATAGTGCAATAACATTTCACTATTTTACAGTTTGTAATATGTTTTTGATCATATGAATGCAGCTTTGGTAAGCAGGAGAAGCTTTTTTAAAAACATTTAAAAACCAAACTGACCCCAACATTTTAAACAGCAGTGTACATGTATTTGTTTCTGCCATAAAGACAGTCTTGGATTTATTGCAATAAGATAAACCACTAACTAATTAGAATAAGAACTGTAGGGCTCAATTATACTTAATACATAAGAATTGGAAAGGGAGCTAGAAATAAATGAAATGGCTACATACTACTCTGGAATAAAAAAAAACATGTTGTTTGTTAACAGTCAAATAATTATCGCTGTTGTTACAACTAGAAGCAACTAAATAAAACCAATTTTAGATTGAAACTTCACACAAATATGAACATTTATTAATCCTCAAGTGAATCCAAACCTTTATTTATATATTTTTATTTTTTAATAAACACAGAAGATATTTTGAAGAATGATGGTAACAGTTGCTATTAAACATCCAAGTCAGGGGGAAAATACTATGGAAGACAGTGGCTACCAGTTACTAGCGTTCTTCTAAATATCTTATTGGAAAAAAACTCAAATAGGCTTTGGAAACAGTGGAGGGGGAGTAAATGATGACAGAATGTTTGGGTTTGACATTTGGGTGGGTCATCTGTTCATTGCGGTTTCTCTTACAAAAATATAAAGAGAGTTATGTTGGTGTTTAAAAACGCTTTACACCTAAAATATATCGTCTCCTTGATCCTCAGAGGCCTCGTGTCCCTCTTATCCTGTTAGACATCTTGAGAATGGATGGACTAAAAGAAAAGGAGCGGGAGAGAGGAGATGAAAAAGAGAGTGACGAGACGGAGGAGGACGCAGAAGGAGCAGCATTATTATGGCAGGAGGGATACCCTGAAGATGACTTGGGCCTACCCATCATGCACTGGGAGGATCTGGGCCTTCGTATCGCTGAACTTGAGAAGCAACAAGAGGAGCGGAGACAAAGGGAAAAGGTCTATATGAAATTAAAAACAGTTTCGCATTAAATTAAATTTTTCATCAGGGGTTGCCATAGCAGAATGAACTGCCAACTATTCTGGCAAATGTTGTAATCCAGCATTGGTAAACACCCATACACTCTCACATTCACACACATACACTATGACCAATTTTATTTACCCAATTCACCTATAGCGCATGTGTTTGGACTGTGGGGGAAACTGGTGCACCCGGAGGAAACCCATGCGAATACGGGGAGAACATGCAAACTCCACTCAGAAATGCCAACTTGCCCAGCTGAGACTCGAACCAGCCACCTTCTTGTTGTGAGGCAACAGTACTAATCACTAAGCCACCATGCTGCCCTATTGTGAAACATTTTAATGAATATTTTTTTTTGTTGTGGATTGACTGGAGTGACACTTCATTTACTAGTACACATCAAAATCATGCTTTAATATATTCCTGCAGGACTTGGACAGGCTGACGGTAGACTGGCCAGACATCCGAGGGCTAAGCAATCACAGAGAAACCTATGAGGACATGGAGGATGATTGCAACAGTCGGCTCACTTCTCTGACATCAAGGTCACGCAGATTTCATAAAACCCAAACTTCATCAGAATCTGAAAAAATCTGTAATAACTTAGCTTGTTTACATTCTAGGCTCCAGAGCCAAATGAATCTACAGCTCTGCTTCATCAACAACAGTGAAAGTGAGGAGGAAGAAGAGGAAATAGAGGCAAAGAAAGAGGTGTTTTTTTTTTTTTTTTTAAACTGTTGTTGGGTGCAAAGTAATGTGAACGATATTAAACAACTTGGATGGAGACATACAATTTTGGGATTTGTACTTGATGGGATTAATAACAGCTTGTTATTCATTTTGTTACATTTTTCAGGTGACAAAACAGTCCAGTAAGAGTGGCAGTAGTCAGCAGTTAGAGAAGGAGCGAGGTTCAAGCTCTGCATCTC